GTTACAGGAACCTGAGGGGTTACCGTACCTGACAAATGTTAAAGAGTTGCAGGATTAGAAGAGTTGCAGCACTGGCTTCTTTTGGGACCTTGGCAAGGCAGCTTTGCATTTCCAGGATCCACCCCTGCACCCTGTGTTGCTCTCCAGCCCTTGGGAGAGATTCCAAGACCTCTGTGTTGGGGGGAGCCATCCCACCCATCCCTGCTGTGACTCAAGGCTGGGCACCTCTCCCTGCACAGCTCCTGCTGCAGCTCCTTGGGGCATCCCGAGGGACTTCAGGGCATGGACCTCCTCTCCCTGCTCCAGAGACACCAGGGCTGGGAGGGGGGATTTAGGTCGAGCCCCCTGGCCCCTCCAGGCCAAAGCTCTGTTCAGCCTCCTCCTGCCCTGGGAAGATTTAGGGAGCAGCCGTGAGGATTTCCCCAGCTTTTTATCAATAATGCAGCAATAAAAAAAGGGGCAGCCTGCCTTTCCAAGGACTCACAGAGTCCAGGATAATCCGAGGAGGGATTTGGCTGCCCCCAAGAGCCACTTTACTGATGGGCAGTGCTTTCCAGCCCCTTTGTTGGAGGGGGCTGTTCCCCCATCACCAAAGTGCGACTGAGGCTCCGTGATGGGCTGGTCCATAAATCTCTCCCCTCTAATCCTTTCCATTCTACCTTTTCCAAACTGGGGGAGGAGAGGGATACTGGGCTGGGCAGCCCGAAGATTTAACCCTTTGTGCTTTGGGGGATCTTCTGCTGAGCAGGAGAGGACGGTGGGCGGAAGGAGGGCTGTTCCACAGCAGCCTCTTAGGAGCAGGTAGCTCTAGCCAGCAATTAAAGCCCCACTGACAGCTTAAAGAGCTCCTCTGGAAGTTTAATAAGTCCACCACTGGATATAAGAAATAAATCTGGCTGCATTACAATCACTTCCAACTACTTAAGCAATAAATGCAGAGCTGTGCTCTGGTTCAGCCGGGACGTGGGGGACATTGCTTCACTCCCCGCGTGGTTTGCAGGGCTGGGACGCCAGAGCAGGACAGGCTGGAGATCACAGGGCTGTGCTGGGGTGGGGGGGGAGCCAGGGCTTCAGGGTGAGGTCACTTGGAGTCTGAGGCTGGAATGAAACACTCGTGGGCTCTGTGGAGGTGAAGAAACCCCTGCGTGGGAACAAGCTGAGGGAATTGGGGCTGTTCAGCCTGGAGCAGAGAAGGTTGTGCAGAGACCCCACAGCGCCTTCTGGGATCCAGAGGGGCCCACATGGAAGCCAGAGAGGGACCCTTCAGCAGGAACTGGGGTGACAGGACAAGGGGGAATGAGTTTCCACTGAAAAAGAGAAAATTTAGGTTGGAAATATGGGAAAAACTCTTCCCTGGAGGGTGGGGAGGCCCTGGCACAGGTTGCCCACAGAAGCTGTGGCTGCCCCAGCCCTGAAAGTGTCCAAGGCCAGGTTGGACGGGGTTTGGAGCAACCTGGGCTGCTGGAAGGTGTCCCTGCCCATGGCAGGGGATGGAACTTTAAGGTCCCTCCCAACCCAAACCATTCCATGATTCTAAACCACCTGAGGCAAACGCCAAAACCTCCTTTTGCCCCGTGGTTGGGGACGTGGAAGGCGTGTTGCATTCCAGCTACCTGACCTTGGGATATGGAAGTGATGGGGTTTGCAGGGGTTGAAAAATGAACTTTGTGTCCATGTTCTCCTAAAAGATCCCGGGCTTTTTAAGCCCAGCTTTCCAAAGCGTGCTGAAAGGTCCCGCCCCGGGCAGGGGCTGCCTTTGAAAGGGAACAAATTGTCGGTTTATGGCTCCCAGGTGAGGGGAGGGGGGCTGTAAATCTCCCACCATTTAACGCATCTGGTCTTTTCCAGGCTGGCTACCAGTGTTCCAAGGAGGAGAGGGAGGAATAACCAACATTTCCGGCCATCGGCCGCTCGCGCGGCCCCCGGGAGCTCCTCAGGAAGGTTTTTAAAGGAATATTTATGGATGATCCTGGTGAATCAGGCCCTAAAAGGTACCAAGAAAGGGGCTGTTGTTCATTAACATTTGGGAGCTGTGCATTGAGGATTTCCCTGTGGAGGGGCGAAAGGAATGGAGTGAAAGTGAAGGGGCTTTCGAGTTAATCCGGTGCTTTTTGAACGTTATTGTTGTTGCTAAGAAATCAGAACCTTTATTTTTGATGAAGAGGAAAAAAAAAAAATTAGAAGTACATTTTTGGGATGGTTTTCCTCCAAAGTTTCTTTTTAAAAGTCCACACTGAGTTCCTCAGCAAACATCTTTGTTCTTACTGATATGTAGTTGAGTGTTGCTCTTTGTCCATCCACATCTCCATGCTAAAACAACATATCCACTCCTGCTAATAACCTGGGAATGACTTCAATTTGGTGGATTTTCCTGAAGAAAACTCCCTCATTGCTGCAATTTATTTTCAATTTGATGAAAATGGTCTTAAAGCTTTGCAGCTTTGCACTCAGAGTGTTCTCCAAGTTAAACTTCCCCATCTCAGTAAATAACAGATGGTTCCCCGAGCATTGTGGATCCAGCACTGCAACAGTGGAGACAGCTTACTGATGTCAGTGAATCTCCCCCCATGCTCAGCTGTCATCCTGAGGGCCCAGGTGTAGGAGCAGTGGACAGAGCCCCCAAAACTGTTGGATTTGGGTCTCTCCTTCCATAAGTACGGGGTGGTTTCAGAGTAACTGAGGCTGTGCGTGGGGCAGTTTGAAGTGCTGAGGTGTCCATGAGGGCTCCAGTCTTGATTTCCTGGGAGAAACACCTCATTTTCAGAGGTGACGTGGCCAAGAGATGGAACAAGGAACAGGGACAACCAGGTGGTGAAAAGAAAGTGCTTCCTTCTTATCCTAAGCCATCCCCCTTTCCCGATGCACGTCACAACTGTTGTGCTCTGGTGGCCCTACACCAGAAGGACCTTCTTGCACATCTTCATCCATGAGCAAAACCCTCCACAGAGAAACTGCTCAGCCTCAGCTCCTCTGCTCAGCTCTGTGTGCACTTGGCACGAGGCAGGAGGCGAAGAGCTCAGCCCAGGCAGAGCAGACCTGTCCTCCCAGGCCCGGGATGTCAGGGCCCCGGAGAGGCAGCGGGCGGGAAGACGCTGATTTTTCGCCTGATGAGCAGAGCTCCAGCTGTTCTGCCCCATCCTCGTGGGAGGGGGACAAGGAGGGGGTGCAAAGCCACAATGACTTCACCAGCAGCACAAGGATAGGATGGTGTCCAGCTGATCCTTGCGAAACACCCTCTGGAGCTGCTGGCTGTGGGAACTGTGCCCAGCTCCGTGTCCTGCCATTGAGGCGTCCTCGCCTGAGTCACTTCTAACCCAATACTGAGTTGTTACCACTGGCATCAAAAAAGGGGTTTTTTTTTTGCTTGTCAGTGACTTCACAAATCCAAGACGCTGCCAATTATCCCCCCTTCGCAGCATTTAAAACATCAACACTTCCCTCCCAAATGAGAAGGGAGTCAAAGGTCCTGTGCCTCCCTGTCCCCTTTACTCTCCAAAGCAGGGATGTGGAGATTGGCCTTTTAGGAAGCCTCCTCTGCTTCACTGAACAGTATTTGCAATTTAGGACTGTGGCCTTGTGATCCTGCACCCAGTGGGACGTGGGGACAGGTCTGATGGGGAACCTGCATTTGTCACAACAGCTCAGGAGCTACTGGGGGACAGTTGAGTTTGGTCCGTGGTCACAGCACCAAGCCTGCCAGAGTTCCAGAAGCATTTGGACAGTACCCTGGGGCCCATGGGGTGACTCTTGGGACTGTCCTGTGCAAGGCCAGGAGTTGGATTCAGTGATCCAACTCGGCATTCTCAGTGATCCTGCAGTTCCCAGTCTGCCCAGTCCAGAGGTGTTCCCCCTCGGAGCGGGTGCTGCAGCTCTCCCCTCACGACTCCCACGTGTTTCCAACAACATGCCTGTCAAAAAAGAAACCTCCATCTCTCCCCCTCGTTTCCCTCTCTCTGTGACTCTGCTTGGAGCTTGCAGCAGCCTTGCCCAACAATAACACTGGCGCCCGTCCCGGCGCAGGGAAGGCAAAGGCTGAGCTCGTTTCGGGGCAGATTTTGCTCACCTCTGGCACCTCTCCACCCTCGCTGCTCCCACACTGCCAGGGCTCCTCTCTCTCCAGCTTTCCCCTCTTCTCCTGGGCTCACCTCTGCCTTCCAGAGGCCTTGACCCCGGGAAGCGGCGGCGAAACGTGGCACAGACAACGCCAGAAAACCGTCAGGAAATTTGGGGGGTTTTCTTTCCTTGGCCAAGGCAGAGCTGCTTCCTCTGGGATGACATTAAAATGCAGCAGAGGATGAGACCCGGATCCCGTTCTGTTTGGTTCCTGGCCGGTGGAGGATTTTTCCACTGGTGCAAAAAGGGTTTCTGAGAATTCTTTTTTTTTTTTACAAAGGAAAATACAGAGACAATGACCAATGGCTCAGCCTGGGGTCCTTGCTCTGGGAACCAGCCCTTAGGTCAGTGGTGGATAATCAAAATTGCGGGGGGAAACCAAGAATCTGGTGCAAATTAGTCAAATTGTTAAGATTTTAATGAGTTTGACAACAGAAATCACCTGTGCTGGTAATTGCCTTGCATGCTTCTGGGGAGAGGCATTATAAGAAGAAGAAGAAGAAGAGCAAGTTGTTCCTCTTGGAAATCCTTCCACCTTCTTTATGCAGAGAGGAAAGATATCAGGGAAACTGGGCTCTGGATGGTCTCTGTGGGTTGGAGGAACTTTGAGACAAGGATCTGGCTTGGCTCTCTGGTAGTATTAGGGAGCAGGATTATCTCCCTATCCAAGTAGGGTAAATCAGGAGGAAAATGTGCTGAAGTGGTGGGAATGACCCATCAGCCCAGCAGAACAACCTGTGCTGTGGGGAAACAGCAGTGGGAGAGTTTGAGGGGGCTGGAAATGGAGATCTGACCCTGCTCCGAGGCTCTGGCCAGCCTGGGAATGCACTGTCCTGTTATTCTGGGATTCTGTGACCCTGCAGGTTTGCATGAGCTGTAGGACCAACCCAGTGGAACAGCTGGAGCCTCCTGGGATGGGGGAAGCCCTGCTGGCTGTGCCCTGCCCAGGACGAGGGACATCATTTGGGGTCAGCTCTGGTAAGTCACAAAACCCCCGGGGCCGAGTCCCCCGTGAGACCCCAACTCCAGTTCAAGACATGGGGACCCCCATCAACAGTGATGTGTTCAATCAGCAGCAGAACTGCTTTCCTCTCTCCTTGGATTCCTTGTCCTGCTTGCAGGAATCAGGGACCCTTCCCTCTGCTGGGGAGCCAGACAGCTCCTGCCTCGGCCAACCTTTTGTCTCGGTGCAGCCCTGGCCTCTGTGCTCTGTATTAATTTAAGATGCTGTGAAGTGAGAGCTGTGGGGGTGGGAGATGCTGTCTAAAACTTGTTCCAAGCCTTTGCTAGATAAATCCCCGTGGAATTTCATTTAAACGAGCTGACACCAGTATGAATCATGCCAGCATTACCAGCGCTCCAGCACTTCCTACCAACAGCCTGCAGGGCTCTGCCTTTTTTTTCCAGGGAAGACTAAAAGCATCTAAAACTGTTTAAGACCTAAAAGTCTTAAAATAATAGGTGTGGGTTTTTTTTTTTCAGTTTTCACCGAGAAAGAAACAACATCTGCTATAAAAATCTGCTGGTTGGGGGCAGTGGGAGCGGATACCACTTATCAGGGGTTGGAAAGGGCCCCAAAATCCCAAAGTGGTGTCTCATCTGTCTGCAAGCTGGACAGATTAGATGTACACAGAAGGGATGGAGAACTAGGGATAAAAGAAAGGACATAGGGAATTGGGTGGAAGGAGGAAGGAAATGAAAGACTTCCAGGAAAGGGAAGGAGACAACACTGTATTTATAAATACATACCTGGGCTTCAGCAAAGGCTCCTAAAAGCTACTGGGACACAGTCAGGCTGCTTTGGAATAAAATCCAGGAGGTAGAGTGTCTGTTCCCAGGGTTGAACTGAAGAGTGACATCTCTTCAGAGGCGGGCAAGTGGTCAGGAGTGAGCATGAAACATGTAAGATTGCAGAATTCAAAAGGATAAACATTATTTGATACCTTATTTATAGGGCACCACAGGGGA